CATTTGCCTGTATCTAATTTTGATGCAGGAGGCTACTCTTATTGCAGGCTTGAAGAAAATGAGCTTGTGGCCACAGAAACTCATGGTTTTTCCTCAGTTTATCACCTCACCTGACAAACCTAATTTATACTCTTAGTTCATCCCAGCTGAAGCAATCATATTTACTAAAATATAAATGACAGAGTACTGTATGGTTTTGCCTTGTTTTTGATATTAGAAAACAACCAAACACACCATCTTCAGGCATTTCCCTTCTTTAATGATGCTCCTGTACAGTTCTGCCATGTGGTATTTGTCCCATCAAAGTTAAATTGGATGGCCCAGTCTTAACTGCTTAAAGTCACTAAATGCAAAGCAATGTCATAGGTGTTGTGTCATGGCACTACTAATAAAGAGATTCAGCCTCTTGAGACTGCAGAACTCCACTTGCCCTAGGCTATATACAGGAAACAAGTACCACCATAATTCATCACTCAAGAATAATATATATATATATATATATATATATATAATGCTAGAGGAGGCTGCATTTCAAAACAAAAGGAATTACATGAAGAGAAGTAAAAATAAAATCTAATTATTTCCTGTGCACTGCTATCCCACTGTTCACTGCAAGCTCCAATTTAAGTTTTTCTTCTGCTGGGGTCATTTAGTGGGGAGCATCTCCCATGTGGTTTTTCTAATTTCTAATAAGATTCAAGTCCACACTGTAGCTTTTTCATACTTTTGGCATATGCAGTATGTTTCTCTCTTTTCTCTACTCTTCTACCCACACATCATCAAAAGAGAAATTTAATTATCTTTTAGATGGCTATCACTGTGTTAAACTTGGTTTAAAAGGTCAGTGGAAAAGGACACACAGACACTGATCATGAGGGTGCATGTCTCACTTCCATGGGAAACCAGGCTTAAAAATGGAACAGGTACAAGGAAAAAGAGCTGCACTTTTGCTCACAGCAATACACTCATTGGAAACACCAGAGACTGCTGAATATCAAAAATTATTGGACCTCACCCTGGATGTTGTAAATCCTCAGAGCTCCTCTGAAGTCATTGGATTTACGTTCATTAATACCAGTACCCCATTCATTTAATATTTATAAAGATGTGTGTCAGTTAAAGAGATGAACAGGAGCCAGCAGTGTGCCCAGGGGGCCAAGAAGGCCAATGGCATCCTGGCTTGTGTCAGCAATAGCGTGGCCAGCAGGGACAGGGAAGGGATCTGACCCCTGGACTCGGCACTGGTGAGGCTGCCCCTCGATTCCTGTGTTCAGTTTTGGGCCCCTCACTACAAAAAGGACATTGAATGACTCGAGCGTGTCCAGAGAAGGGCAACGGAGCTGGTGCAGGGTCTGGAGCACAGGTCGTACGGGGAGCGGCTGAGGGAACTGGGGGTGTTTAGTCTGGAGAAGAGGAGGCTGAGGGGAGACCTCATCGCCCTCTACAGCTCCCTGAAAGGAGGTTGCAGAGAGCTGGGGATGAGTCTCTTTAACCAAGTAACAAATGATAGGACAAGAGAGAATGGCCTCAAGTTGTGCCAGGGAAGGTTTAGACTGGATATTAGGAAGCATTTCCTTCCAGAAGGGGTTGTTAGGCATTGGAATGGGCTGCCCAGGGAGGTGGTGGAGTCCCCATCCCTGGAGATGTTCAAGAGTCAGGCTGGCATAGTGCTGAGGGATCTGGGGTAGGTGGGAACTGTCAGTGCTAGTTTAACAGTTGGACTAGATGATCTTCAAGGTCCTTTCCAACCTAGTTGATTTTGTGATTCTGAGGTAAGAGAGTATCTCTAGACCTACACACTTAAGTGTAAGCATGCATGTGCAAGAGCACATGTACATTCCAGTATCACAGAACAGTCACAGGGAGATGTCACACAGCTCCCATTACAAAGGACAGAGATATGAATGCAAGTTAAGACCAAAGTTGTATCAAGTCTGCTGTGCTGAAGTTGCCCAGGGAAAGAAGGGGACTGCAACCCATTCATTTTTCTCCCTCTCTTTCACAAGCTCATAAAAGTGGCTTTCTGATGGACCACTTGAAAGTCACCTCCACCCATCTGAAACTTGGCTGAGATCTCAGTCCTCCTTTATTACTGCGCAACTCCATTAAAGCTCTCAGTGGAACCGATGAGTGAATGTCCCAGCTAATTTTACTTTTTGTATTAAAAAAAAGCACACACTAGTCTATTGCAAATCATTTTGAAGAATTTTAATCATAGCAAATGTGTCTGAACAATTCTCATAAAATCAGCATGTCCACATGTACAAAGGACAAGACTCCAGAGACTGGCCTAAAAAAATACCATGTATTAGAATGGAGTGGGGGGAGGAGGCAGTTAGAACCTCAGCAGTGTTTGAGATGCCTTCTAGGACAGGCAATGCAAGCAAAGAATGCTTCTCCAGACATTCAGATTTATCGACAGCACTTTGACTTCACATTTATAAAGTCAATATTTGGCAAGGTTTTGACACAGTGGCCCAGCAGCTCACGTATCTGTGGGGGCTGATTAGCCCTTCACAGGAAAAGAAGGAGGAAGTCTTCTAAAACCAAGTTATACGCGGTTTTGCTTTTGAAACACATCAAGGACTTCAGTTCATGGCCAGTGAACAGTGCCAGCCTGCTTGTTTAGCTAGAATATAATTAACAAGTGGTGGGGAGGGAGCCTAGGAAGGACAAGGGACCATGTAAAATAGTATAAAAAAAGGAGCAGAGATGGTGGTAGAGCTGTAGGAGAGCCATGCAATACCTGCATGCCCAAGGCTAGACTCAACCTTCCAGCTTCTGGTGCAACTATTAATGAGCCTGGAAATCTGGAGGAGGAGGGAACAGGACATGGCACTATCAGAAGGAGGTCTTTCTGCCTTCTATTCTTAAAATAAGAGCCAAACATTCATTCAGCTGTTGTTTTGATTAACATACTAAGTGCATGAATATATACACACGTTTTTCAAGGCTGGCACTGAGATAAAGAACTAGCTCTCACTTCAAAGATGTTCTGAGGACACTTCAGCTGATATAAAAGATTGGTCAGTATTTTACCTTTGCCTTTTTGTTATAACACCCGTCAAAGTCTATTTGCTTTCACAAAAAAAAAAAAAAAAAAAAAAAAACAACAAAAAAAACAAACCACCACTCCAACCATCCCTACTCCTTCCTATCTCCCTTAGTAATACAGAAATCTTTGCTAATAGGGATAGTGCAAAGAAATGCCCAGTGGGATGGGCTTTTTAGGTCTGCTTTAGATTACAGCTCACTTGAAATGCCTTTGAAGTCATTAGGGATACTGTAGCTGAAGTAATCTAAACTGGTATCAACTGCAAGTAGTTGGAAATACACGTTGGGAAGCTGATAAACAGCTCCCCTGGAGAATATGTGCATGTGCAGTTGGTCCCGCCCTCTCCATTGCAGCCCTGTGCCGCACCAGCGCACGGGTCTCGAACCACTGTGACTGCATCGTGGAGAATTGCCTCGTTGCAAGGACTTGCCTCAGCTCCCTCTTTGCTTTCCAGCAACCGCCGACAGCATCCACCGACTCCTGAGCCTTAAAAATACTTCTCTGAGGTCCTCTGCTTAGCAAGGTTTAGGCTCCAAAACAGGAAACCTATTTGGATTCGTTTGGAGCATAGCTGAAATTCGGGGGCACCTCTGCCTTCTCTCAACAGAGTTTAAATAGATACAGAACAGATGGTATAAACATGGCCTGAATGAAGAACAGCTTTACCCTTCTGTTTTGGTTTTTCAAAACAGTAAGCGAAATGAGGATGGAGGAGGAAGGATGCGAAACACTTTTTAGAGCCTACCACATAAGAGAATCTAAGCAGCACGCTAAACCTCAGCACTGCGACAGATGCAGCACCCTGCCACAAGGCAGCCTGCTTTGGGACTACCCTGAAGCTGAACAGAAGGGCAGGTTCTCCAGTTTGCAGGGTACCGGGTATCCAAGTTTGTGACAACATAGAAAGCTGAAGGAATCTTACAGAAAGGTTCTCACCTTTCTTTTAAACCTTTAAAGTTGTATCTACAGCAGTGGAACTGTAAGAGCCCACCCTGTAACCAGAGATGTCATGTTGGACCATTCCAGCAAGGAGAGTATTCAGTGTGTCCTTCCAGCGCCATTGTTTCAACAAAGATTTGGGGTAGGTTACATCCATGTTTCATCTGGTTCAACACACGCCTCAGGACACCTCCTCCCCTTGGGCCACTGAGCAAATGCAGCAGGGGCAGACCGTGCCAGAATGATTTAATCAAATTCCTGTCCTCCTTTGGCAAAAGTCAGATCACTGACCAGATCAAGGATTCAACAATCTCTTAAGGAGACAGATAATTTGCCCTCAAAATTGGTAAATATCTCCTTATCAAAGGCTGCTTGCTTTAGATCTATAAAATGAAGCCTGCCACTGTGTATAGGATGTATGACAGAGATCCTCAGAGGCCCAGTCCAGTAACAGCTTTAAATGAGGCATAAGACTCCAGCTTGATCTCAGAGAACTGACAGTCACAACTAATTCCATATATAGTGCTCTGTGTGCTTGACATCCAGAAAGTCCAGGCTCTGCACATTTCAGCAGGCATTTTAAACTTAATAGGCAGCACGTGACATTTCATTAAGATTTTGGTGCTATTACAGTTTTCAGCAGTTAGGAGGTTTATGAGGTATTACAAAACAGAAGCACATACATACATTTTGAAACTCAGTAGACCTAATCCAAGCCATGAACATGGATTTTCTTCTTCCTTATCTCCCTCCCCCAGCAAAGGAAGTAGAATCGCAAAATTAATGTCACTAATACACTGAACAAAAAAACCCAAAAAAAACAACAACAAAAATACAAACAAAAACAACAAAAAGGCTGTTAATGATCTTATCTTAAAAATCAGACTGTGCAAGTAATTTCTAGTCTCTAGTTATTTTCTCATGTTTTCTGCTTCCCCCCCTCCCCCCCC